GCGGGGGGTCGGGTTGAAGGTGGGGTTCGGGGGGATGTTTATTAATTGGATATGGGACGAAAGGGTTTCGGAACAAGAAGGATTAGGAAAGGTAGAGTTTAGGGAGTGGGCATGAGAGCTTAGAGTTTGTGGCAGTTGCCTTTCTCGGGTGCGTCGTTAGCACAGTAGGGCTTTGGATTTTCGGTTCTTGAGTTTGGGGTATCCAGTTTTCGCAACGTGCTTTTGTCTTGCAGCTTCCTATACACCTTCAGAGGCTTGGGCATTCACCGCCTTGAATCAAGTCTTGAGTGACTCCAGTTTGAAGGCTTGAGGCTTAGAGTGCCAGACGTGACTTCTTGACGTCTTCGCCACATGTGCACTGCAGATCGGGCCTCTGCCTAGCACAAGACATGCAAAGAGCCGACCCACCAGCCTACAGAAACTTCAATCTGAAACCATCCCAAGACTATATTGCAAGTTTCAAAGTCCCAAACCCTGCAGCCTGAACGTAGTCGTCCTACTGGCAGCTACTTGTCGACATGTGGCCCGCCGAAAGTACCTCATCCGGGCGTCTGGGGGCATGATGCTTTAAAGAAACTTCTGAGGCGAATTCCTCCATCTTGAATGCCTTGCTCACGTTGCTGAACGCCGCTTGTTTGAAGGGGATGCTGGGTTTGTGGTTCGAGATGAACTTAAGGCGCAAGGAGTGGCATTCTATTGGGTTCAGGAAGGGCGTTTTTGGACCCAGGCTTTGGAGCTAAGGCTTTAAGACTTGCGGTGCTGTCTGATCAGGGCATCGGCTTCTGGGTTACTCCATCATTAAAGAAAATCCACGACACCATGGATTGCGGGATGAGCCTAGATCCCAAAGCTCTTCATCCTATGAAAGTAACATGGACACCGAACAGCAGGATCCTTGTCCTGAGGGCCCGGAAAAAGGCATCCCTAATTCCACAAGAGGCCTACATCCCCTCTTGAGTCCCCGGGAAGGCCCGGAACCTAAGCTTCAGAGGAACGCATCTTCGACAACGGCGGCGAGCGAATCGACGTTCCCCTGCCGTGGCCACAGGTGACCCTAGAGAGCCTGATACGGTCTACTCATGTTCCGGAACTGTCTGGTTGGTCATGATAGACTCAAATGTTCACTCGTCTCTATTGTGGTGCTGGTGCAGCGAGACAGGGAGGCAGCCAGAGACAGAAAGGAGAGAGAGAGAGAGAGAGACAGAGTTCACCATCCATGCGAATCTCCGGGCCGTCGCCACTTCCTGTGACTCAGCTCATCGTACCCTTCTAGGGTTGAAGCTATGACAAAAGCAAGTGTGGAGATGATGGCAGAAATTCTTGCTCAGGATCTTGGTAAGACTGAAGCGGGGGAAAGCCTAGATACCTATGCAAGATCTGTCCCACAGCATCGGCCCAAGCCACCCAACCTTACAGCTTAAGTTCGAGCCTCGGAGACTCAAGCCTAGACCTTGAACTTCGCCCAACAAGTCAGCCAGCCAGCACCGTTTCGTGAGCCATGTGCGATGCTTTGCTGCCTCAGCTTCCCAGCCCTCCTAGATCCTTGGCCTCGTTTCTTTGTGGAGGGGGGGGGGGAGTGCTTTGCTTTAGGCTGAAGGGTGGAGGATTTAGGTCGAAAGCTCAGGGAGTCTGTGCGCAGGAAGATTAACTCCCTCTTCTTCCCGCTGTCGCATGATGTGGGTCCCTTGGAGGGTCCTGATTGCGTTACATGAATGAATACGGAAAGAGCCATCTCCAGGGGGAGCCTAGTTACTCGTCTTCCGAGTATGGGAGTTCAGAAAATACAACGGGACCCTTACATAGAGTCCCGGAGGAAAGGATGTCCCTTACAAGGATCCCAACAGAAGCTCTCCCTCCATCCCTCCTTATTTTCCAAGACCCTTCCCATATCACAAGAGACCTTGGACCTGCTTCCGAGATGGTGGGAAGAAGCCAGCTCCCCAGGGTCGGGAGGTTTATTTATTTATTTTTTTTATGTGTGCAGGTTTGGGGCAATCATGAGGGCGCTTTCTTTTTTTTTTGGGTTTGGGGGGGGGTTGGCGTTGGATCCTCGAGGGCTCTTTGAGGTTTACGAGTTGTGCGTGTTAGGGTTTGGGGGTTTGGAGAAAGCAAGTTTGTCTTGATTATATGTTCAATGCACTAGGCATGAAACTTTCGGGGCTAATTAAGGGCTTCAGAGCGTGAGGTGCGCAAGGAGTGAGGGGTGAAGGCGACGTGAGCTACATGTGCTGCCCCAGTGGTCTTGTTGTCGGCTAGCTCGTGGCCGCGGCCGGCGGGACTTCTGATGCGAGAATATCAGGCATGCCGCAACCCTAAATGGCTCTAAATCCAAAGTTCGAGGGTGATTCGAGGGTTCATGGTCCTACATGGCGCAAACAACTAGGGGGCTGTGAAGGCTTTAGTGCCATTGCTACGAAGCCCTTGGGCCCCAAGCCTGCAACCGGAAAACCGAAAACACCCAAAACCGTAAGCCTGAAAAAAACTGACTCCACATGATCAAGAAGTGTACCGAATCCCTAGCACGAGTTGCGAAGCCCGCCTACCCGAAAGGGCAGGCTCCTCGTAACCTCTCAGTACCTTGAGCCGGCTTGAGGCAGCGCTGGCGCCGGGATCGGCAAGAAGTGGCTCAAAGTCAGCCGATGCCTGCCGAGGCACGCAAGGTTTAGGGTTTGGGTTTTGGGGCTTAGAGAAGCAGCCAACTGGGGCTCCTCTAAAAGTAGGGGTCAGGGTTTAGGATTTTCAGGGTTTAGGGTTTGAAGCTTCAGGCCATGGAATTTTGAGGGAAACTTGAGGTTGTGAGCTTCGGGATTTGGACTTTAGGTTTCTGTTTACTTCACGAGGGGATAGGTTCAGCGGCAGAACTCGCGTGGAGGGTTGTTGGGTTTCGGGGCCATTGGTGCGACGGGTTTTCTGGCCTTACGGATTTGACATACACAGGGTTTACATTTAGCGAATTTAGCGCTTCTTGAGCTGCGGCGCTGCCTCGACAAAACCATTTGGGCCAAAGCAAGTGCAACAGCGGAGCGCCAGTTCGTGTCGCCTGGCGAAACCGTAGACACTAGTCCCAAAACTCTTGAAACCTTAAACCTGTAAGCCTTATAAGCCTATAAGCGAAGAAGATGCAAGAAACCAGCTTGGTCTTGAAGACAAGCAAATTCCAGAATCATCCCACAGCAACCTCGCTTGTGGCCGTCGTCTTAGCCATGCGAGAGGGGGAACTAACAGGCCTTTTCCAGCCACGCCCACCCTAAGCCCTAAACCTTAATCCGAGTGTCACCGCCGAAACCCTACCAACAACACCAACTGTCCCGCCATATCACGGTCCCACAGATCTTGTTGGAGTGACAGCCTTTCGGACGATCCTTGCCTTTGGCGTTTATACTGTTACACGTATAACCTACAGTGTGTGTATATATATACACACACATAGAAAATGTAGTTATGTACATACATACATGCATGCATGCCTACCTACCTACATACACACCTACATGCATACTTACTTACTTACATGTATACATCCAGACATTCATACACACGTGCATGCATGAATGCATAGTCCATCCAGCCATGTATGTATCCATCCCTCCATCCGTCCATCCATCCATCCATCCATGCATCCATCCATCCATCCATCCGTCCATCCATGATCCATCCCTCCGTCCATCCATGCATCCGTCCGTCCATCCATCCACCCATCCATCTATGCATCCATCCATCCATCCTTCCATCCATCCCTCCGTCCATCCATCCGTCCATCCATCCATCCATCCATCCATCCATCCAGGAATCCAGGAATCCAGCCGCCCAGCCACCCAGCCTCCCAGCCATGCATGCTTATGCATTTGCATCTGCATGCATGCCAACATGTGCCTACGTACCTACGTGCCCGCGTACATACATGCATACATAGACCCTCTAGACTGGTACGCGCTTTATACGCAAGCTGTAACCCACAATGCTGCAGCACTCGCATTCTAAAACTGTTCGGGTTCTACACAGTGTTGTGCTGTGTTAGGATGGATATGACTCGTCTGGAAGAGGATGACTTTGTGCATAGCGTGGACTCTGCCTTTCATTCACGCGGTGCATAGTGCAGCGCATGCTGAAATTTGAACAGAGATTGCATGAACAAGCCTCTTTTCCGAACTGTGTGTATGAGCATGGTACTCACAAAGCCTCTATCAACTCCTTACCCGCTTGGCCAGCTGCCGGCAAAACAAGCAATCCCTCGTGGGTTTTTCATGTATGACTTACTGGCGCCAGCGAGTAGACGTTTCCACTCGCTTCTGTTCTCGGGGCTAGTCAGGACAAAACAAACACGGTCAAGCGCACGCAGCACAGATAGTGATTCCACCGGTGGTTTCTCCGAAAGAAGAAGCAAAGGATCGACACATGCCGAAAACAGAAGAAGCAGAACGACTATTGGAAGAAGGAGGCTTGGCGGCAAGAGCAAAAGGACTTACCAGCATCCTTGCGGCGCATGGGCATCTCGATGTGTGAGCTTGATGCTGGGTCTTTTGTCACCGCCTGCTGGAAAAAACGTGCAGCGCATTTCGGACTGAAATGAAAAAGTCGGCTAGCTTCCTCTTGCAGCAACCATGCACAGAAGGTGCCGCCGGCAGCGGCTGGCCAGTGCAGCAGCCCCTCAGCAGCGACCACGCGAACACATAATCGACGGTTAAGACTGCTCATTGCATTCGCGACACCGCAGTTAGATCTTATCGAGTAGGTGAAGCAACAGAAGAGCATGACGTGGGTACTATGACAGGTCTCGTTATCTGGTGCACATATGTTTAGGCATGTCATGTGCTCAACTTCAGCCATTACTGCTTCTTTCCTGGTTGACATGCTGGCAAGGCCTTCCACATCGCCAAATTACCTCTTCTGTTGCCCGTGGATTGTATTTGTCCCCATTTTTGGCATCGTGCCTGAGATGCATTGGCAAAAAGATTGGGTGGCGTCTGTGACGTTCTGGGAGCAGCTGTCGGGCTTCAATTTCAGGTGATGGCCAGGGCAGGAAGCTTTGCGGCTTAGCGGCTACTCCTGCCCTGTTTCAGGTCTTCTTCGTGGTCGTTGCGATTGGCCTTTGGCTCGTCGTGAACCTTGCATGGGTCGTAGGCCAGTTGTTTCTTAGAGTGCAAGACTTCTTTGGGATCCGTCGACTTGGCTCGTGATTTGCACAAGAGAGTCGCCATTTTAGCTTGTGAAATCTACCTGATCCGTGGCTGGGCGAGTGTAGCAGCTCTCCCAACAACGGATTCGGCACGAATTGAAGTTCAGTGCTTGGTCGGTCGTAGCCAAAGACGTGTGGACCGTGATCGCATTGTCGCAGGGCTGCTCGTGGGTCTGCCGGTGTCTTTTGCCCTGGTCTACTACTGGTTCTGGCGCCTCGGGCCCTGCAAAGAAGTGTTTGTGACCCGCTGTCAGCGGTCCTCGAGAGTGGGGGTTTATTACGCTCTTACTGTAATTATTTCTTGCAATCTTGACCATGTGACTGGTATTAGGGTGACCAGCTTGCGGCTTGTTGCGTGCGCTGGAGTGCAGGAGTTGGAAGGTCTCATACGTCATACGGGTCATGTTTCTGCTCACATTCGAAATTCTCATGTCATGTTTGCTGTCCAAGGCGATGTTGCCCAGGCGGGCCTCTTGGATTTCTTTGTTGTCGTAGATGGCAATCTTTCGTACTTGATGAAGTTGTCGGCATGCAAGCAAAAAAGCGGCTCGTCATTTTAAGTTCCGCTGCAAGCCATTCCCCAGCGCAAGGGTGCTGGCCATGTAGTGGTGATAATGGGTAGACCATGTCAAGGACGGTCGTGTTACAAACTGGTAGAGAAACTGCACCGCTTCAGACGGTGTGAAGCGACTGCTGGCTCCCCGGCAGGGTATTGGCCAACTGACCTCTACGAGAAGGTGATATACACGGTACATATGGTGCGACGGGATGACTGAACAGCGATTGGTAGCCGTGTCCTAGGCCAAAATGTGTCTAGACGCACGTGCATCTGAGCTGCATCGTAGGGAGCACAAGGTGACCGTAGGGAGATATCGTGCCCGTCTTCCAGAGTTGACTTGGGGTAGCACTGTTCTCGATTAGGGAAGTTTCTCCCTGTCAGCTGATGACCATCAACGCCGCAGTCCCAAATGCTGGTCCTGAGCATCTTGGAAGCACGATTTGAAAGCAGCTTGATGTCAGAGGCTAGGGCAAAGGGGGGGTTTGTTCAGCAGCTATGTCGTAGCTGGATATTTGTGCCAGGTTCATGCCCGTATCGGGTCTGCGTCCACGAGAGCAGCTACCAAAGGGCCTGATGGACTACGCGCTTTTCTTGCAGGTGCCGTACGGCTCGGCGGACGAGTTCGAGTTGTCAAGCGAGACTGTTCTCGAGAAATCCTTGACGTTCCTTCCTCAGTCTGAGCACTTGAAGACTTTTGGTCCAGACGAGAACCCGGTGGAGTTTGTCATGAATCAGATGTCCTCGATATACCCGCCGATCTACCAGGCGACACGGCGGCAGGAAGAAGCACACAAAAACGTTGCAGCTGTTGATTCGTGATTTCATGACTGGATTGAATTTGATTGGCATTACTTACGGAGACCCTTTTTGTTTTAGCCCGACTCAGCCCTAGTTACCTAGTTTCGCCAAGTATGGAAGACAAGCCTGCACACCCTGAACAAAGCACTAATGCAAGCAGCCCTGACTCGATCTGAAGCTTAAACAGCGACAGCCCATGACGCCCCCGATCAAGACCGAAGCATGCTGAGCGAAACCATAAGGAGTGGCCGGATAAATGGAGCGACACGGCCCTTGTCCGCTTTTGCCTCCACGGTCTCGGTGCACACCGCTTGGGCGTGGAGATCCGTGCCTCGTTTGTGATTGGTTTCTTAAACCCAAGCTGCGGCTCCCGAGTTCGGGACTTTGGGACGACGTTCTGCAGCCTCGCCTTCCGCTGTTCCGACTGCCGGATTAAAGTACGTGTCACCGCATGATGCCCATCAAGCATGGCAAGGAACCCAAGCCCGGCGGATTGTTTAGCCTTTATAACGCAAAACGACGGCCACTCGAGGTACCAGTCACGACACAGGGTCCCAGCAATGCGTGTCAACATCATGCCTGCAGACTTATGTGTCGACGGCTGCGCAAATGACTTCTTCGGATGTTTTGCGATTGACTTGCTTTGATGAGCCTGCCTTGCCAAGGAGATGGAAAGAAGCTATTCGTGACTTGTTGGCCACCGAAACGTTTCGGATGATGTTTGCATGTTGCAAAAATGCTGTGCTGTTACGTGTTTATGTCTTGCCGAAAGTGCACGCGCGAGCAGACCTTTTCACTTGTCTGCCAGAGTCTGCGATCCTTTGCCGAACGAGTTGCGCCGGACCAAGGTGATCAAGACCAACGCTCTTTCTGGACTCCCTGTGCGGGAAGGTTTCGAGAGATATGGTGGTGACATGTACTTTGACAAAGACTGGAAGCCGGTGATGATCATCGATGCGGGCCACGGCCCGCTACGCCAAGATGGAATTCAGGAGACGGTGACCACAAAGCCTGGAGAAGCAGGGTGGGAGCGAGCGAAGTTCCGATTCCGCTCCTCCCTTTTTACTCTGGTTACCCTGGTGGATCACTTGTACGATATCCATCTCCAGAAGTCGAACCTTTTCGTCACAGCGATGAGAGAGCAGATGTCTTCTGACCATCCCGTACGCCGATTCATGACGCCGTTTACGTACCGGACGATCACCGTGAATGACAACGCTTTCCACAATCTGCTGACAAAGAATGGCATGGCTCCGCGCTGCTTTGCGTTCACGGACCACGGCTTCGGGCTTGCGTTGGCAGCCGGCCCATCCCTTGTGCTCGATGGAACAGAGGTTCCTGCAGATGCCGGTGGTCCGATTCTGTTTCGCGCTGACTATGTGGACTACCTCAAGAGTAAAGGTATCGACACGGTTTACTGGAGACAAGTATCACAACTTTTCCAACTCTATTTGCGTTTCGTCCTTGCCTACTTGGAGTGCTACTATCCCAACAAGGAGGATTTCGCGAATGATCCTGAAATGCTGGCTTTGGTCAGACAATACTTCTATCAGTTGGAGACGGCTGGGCCAAACATGCTAAGCCAGAGAGTAGACTTCACAATGCATCAATCCAGTGGCAAAATCGACGAGAAGTACATGTTTTACGCCATGTACTTGGCCGAGATCATGTTCTGGGCAGCGTGGTGTAAGTCAGAAATCCGTAAGGGTGACGGTGGGATTTCCAGATGGCTAGTTCCTGTTGTGACTGTTCGTGATTGAGCACATGTCATACTCCATTGTTCAGCTTTCTACGAACACTTCAAGATCGTGTATTCAAATCACAGGACTCGTTGGTCTTCTCGCTATCTAGGTCCGAGGTCGGTGGTCTCTCTAGCGTCTCACTTTGACAATTGAAGGACTTATGTTAGTGATCCTGGCAAACAGCGATAACCGTGAGAGCAGTACTGGCGGTTGGGTACCAAAACAAAGACAAACTGCCCCATCAGTCTGTGAGGCAACCGCTGGCCATGAGCAAGCAGGCGCCAAGTCGTGCTGCATAGTTACAGTGCGCACGTGTGATTGGCGTTTGATTGGAGAGACTGGTGATTATGACGATGACTACGATGATAGTAATAACAATAATATCAATAGAGATAGTAATAGTAAAAATAATAATTTTGGATTGGGTGTTGACGGAGCTGCTGCCGTTCTCTGTGGGCATGAAGGTGAAGCTTGCCTTCAGTTCTTTGGCCCTCAAGTTGACTGCAGATGTGATAATCTTGGTGATGATGAAGGTCAGTGTGATGACGGTGGGCTTTGGTGTGATTTTCATTCTCTTATGATATGACTGTTCAACATCCTGTTGTAGTTACCGCCGCTGCAACGACTACCCTTCCTGATTCCTAGTCCTAGTATACTGAATAAATCTAACTGCCCTAGCTGTTGTCAATGCCCTCTGTATATTTGTCACGACTAAATTGTAGTGCTAATGCCGCGGCCGCCACCGGCACCGCCGCCGCCCGCCGCCGCCATCGCCGCCACCGCCACCACC